GGTCCTTTGTAGTCTTTGCTGCTTTCCACTCACAGATTCCCCCTTAGGATCTCCTGCAGGGCTGGTTTAGTGGCTGGTTAGTTTAGTTCATGACCATGAACTTCTTTTTGTTTGTTTGGGAAAGCTTTTCTCTCTCCTTCTATTCTGAATGACAGCCTTGCTGGATAAAGGATTCTTGGCTGCATATTTTTCCTATTCAGCACATTGAATACTTCCTGCCACTCCCTTCTGTCCTGTTAAGTTTCAGTCAACAAGTCTGCTACTACCCTTATGCATCTACCCTTGTAGGTTAAGGTCTGTTTGTCCCTGGCTGCTTACAAAATTCTCTCTTTATTTTGTATTTTGCCAGTTTCACTATGAAATGTCATGGTGTTGATCTGTTTTTGTTGGTTTTAAAGAGAGTTCTCTGTGCCTCTTGGACCTGGATGCCTGTTTCCTTCCCCGGATAGGGAATTTTTCAGGTATAATTTGTTCAAATAAACCTTCTGCCCTTTTCTGCCTGTCTTCTTCTTTTTGAACTCCTATGATATGGATATTATTTCATTTCATTGAATCACTTAGGTCTCTAATTCTCCCCTCTTGGTCTAGTAATTTCCTTTCCTTCTGTTTTTCAGCTTCATTATTTTCCATAATTTTATCTTGTATTTCACCTATTCTTTCCTCTGTTTCTTCCATCCTTGCTGTCACTGCGTCTAGTTTATTTTGCATCTCATTTATAGCGTTTCTTAATTCATCATGATGATTTCTTAGGTCTTTGATCTCTGCATAAATAGATCTTCTGCTATCTTCTATGCTTTTTTCAAGCCTGGCTATTTGTCTTATGACTGTTATTCTAAATTCTTGTTCATATATATTGTTTATATCTGTTTTGAGCAATTCTTTAGCTGTTAGTTCTTCCTGGAATTTCTTTTGTGAATTCTTCCATTTTATCATTTTGGCTAGGTTTCTGTCTTCTACCTTTTTTAATAGCTTGTTATGTGTCTTGCACCTGTAAGAACTACTATATTAAAAAGGGGTCATACACTGTCCAGGGCCTAACACTTCAGGAAGTGTTTTTGGAGTCTGGTGCGTGCACTGTGTTGTTGCATATTTGGCTGCTTTATCCCACTGGTCAGTCCTCTATAAAGCTCCTTCTTACTCATAATGGTGGATTGTTTAGACCTTCCACCAGGTATTCTTTGATTTTTTGTTGAAGTAACCCTGGAAAAAAGGAAAGGGAAGGGGACCTGATCCCATACGAAGAGAAAAATGAAAGGGGTGGGAAAAAAGATGAAGCAGAGATAGATTTCCTGGGCATTACAAGTGTTCTGTCCTTAATACAGCCATGTTTGGGTTACAAGGGAAAACACACTTGTAAGTCAGGTCCCCCTACTTCTCCTCCATCTTAACTCCTCCCTCCCCTCCTGCACATTTATAACAACGTGGACTGCCTTAACCAAAATAATTTAGAACTTCAGTGGCTATCATGGAAAATTGTCATCTCCCCAAACTTGTTTTACTAAAAATCAAATTAGAAAGCTGTGGCTCCAAAAGAAACAAGCACACAAAAAACTTGAATAGGATACCTGTTTTTTTAAGTTTACTTGTTTATTTATTTAGAGTGTGCATATGTGTGTGTGCACCGTCAGTGCAACACCCGATGTGGGGCTCAATCCCATGACCCTGGGATCTTGACCTGAGCCGAAATCAAGAGTTGGATGCTCAGTCAGAGGACTCTAGATGCTGACAAGGATGTGGAGAAACGGGCACCCTCCTACACTGTTGGTGAGAATGTAAACTGGTGCAGCCCCTCTGGAAAATGGTGTGGAGGTTCCTCAGGAAACTAACAATAGAACTCCCCTATGACCCAGCAATAGCACTGCTAGGAATTTACCCAAGGGATACAGGAGTACTGATGCATAGGGGCACATGGACCCCAATGTTCATTGCAGCACTCTCCACAATAGCTAAAACATGGAAAGAGCCTAAGTGTCCATCAACTGACGAATGGATCAAGAAGATGTGGTTTATCTATACGATGGAATACTACATGGCAATGAGAAAAATGAAATCTGGCCATGTGTAGCAACATGGATGGACCTTGAGGGTGTTATGCTGAGAAAAATAAGTCAGGCAGAGAAGGACAAATACCATATGTTTGCACATATAGGAGGATTAGGAGGAACCTAATGGAGGACCATGGGGGAGAAGAAGGTGGGAAATAGTGGGGGAGAGGGAGGGAGGCAAACCATGAGAGACTCTTGAATGCTGAGAACAAACTGAGGACAGATGGGGTGGGGGGAAGGGGAGGGGAATGATGGGCATGGAGGAGGGCACTTGTGGGGATGAGCGCTGGGTGTTATATGGAAACCAACTTGACAATAAACTATTTTAAAAAAATAAAAAAATAAAAGATGATACAAAAAAAAAAAGGGTTGGATGCTCAACCGACTGAGCCATCCAAGCGCCTCAGGGATACCTATTTTAAATGGTACCTTGAGGCTTCCAGACGCTTTCAGAGTCTAAGTTTGCCTCTTTGCAAAAGTACTATTTCTAAATTAAGCGAGGCAAACAATTGAAAGACCTCAAAATGACTTCTGAGACCTCCCCTCACCATGTGCTGCCCCCATCCATCTTTGTCTGCATCTGCCTTGTGCTCAGGCCCCACCTCTGGCACCATTTTCCTCTCTTCTCTCTGTCAAACCTCTCTTTTCCATGAATCTTTCCTCATCCCTCCTCTTCTGAGCCTATTAAATCCTTCCTCTTTAAAGTTCAGTCTTCTGAGGATCTAAGTAAATCCCACGTGTCTTATGTTCTCTGGACTAAGCAATAGTTAAAGTTTTGTAAAGTGACTGTGGATTTCCAAAAGTTTGCTGAATAGTTTAGCATAGTTACTCAAACTCACCCACCTAATTTCTCAGATTTATATCAATTAGGTCCCATGCTTGCTGGCCAAACATCGGGTGCAACTGGCCAGAGGAAAATCCTGAAGGAGATTTAGTGAAAGAGACCCCTAACTTTTGGCGAGATGTTAGAACACTTGCTGGAAATCTCCCCTGAACAATTGCAGTAGGTTTTCCTAAGCCTGGTGATTGAAAGAAAATCCAGGCTTCCACACAAAAGCCTGATGGACCTGTCTGTGACTATTACAGTCAACTCCATACTGCCTTTTAAGAAAATTCTGGTCTTCATTTAGATGTTGAATCCACCTGGGTAGCATCTAATTCTATGTTTAATAGGCTGAACCAGGATCATTCTCTTTTGGTTAGAAGGACTAGGATGGAATGGGAAACTACCAACTCCAAATTTAGTTCATTTGGTAAACCAGTTCTGTCACATCCCAGATGAGTCACCTGAAAGAAAGAGTGCTAAAATTCTGTTTTCAGCTCAGGCAAATAAAGGCCCCTGGACAAAAGCAACCCATCTACCTCCCCTCCCCACCCCCTAGTTTTTCTCTTATTGCCAAGAGCCGGAACATTGAGAAAAAAGATTGTTATGAATTTAAGTGCTCAAGGCACCTTCAGCCTTCTAGCTAGTCATTCCGATGTCCTCCCAATTCTCAGTTACGGGGCTCTGAGGAAGCGTAGGGGCTCTTCCGGATCCTCCTTCTTAATCAGCTCGGAGAAACCACTCTCCAGATTGGAAATTAATCTCTGTCCCTGTTGAACACTGGAAGTGTCCACTGCTGTAAAGTAGCCCCTGCCTCAAAGCATTAACACGGTTCAAATTGTGAGGGTCTCTAACAAACCTCAACACGTTTCTATCTACAAACCTGTTCCCTTTTGTGTAGGCTCTTTGACGGACACAACCCCTTTTCTCCTTCGTTACTGTACCTTGTTAATTTTTTGGGCTGAGATATCTTCGAGAAACATCATGCCAGAATTTCTTTCTCCCAGAAGGGGAAATAACTCTAGAATTTGACAATAGTCATCAAAATAGCCAACCAGCAGAATTAAATGATCCTTTGGCATCTTTATTAGTTCTATCTCTGACACTATAGCTGAGTCTGGGGACACTGCTTATTTATTCTTGTTGAATCAGGTACCATTTCTTTATGGGCAAAATCCTCAGCTGATATTGGCAGAATTCACAGTGCACCTGCTATTAGGATTCAAAGAGATCGCTCAAAACCTTCTTCCATAAATAATCAATACCCTCGAAACATGGAAGCTCTCTAAGGCATCAGACCCATAATAGAAGACTACAAATTTCAGGCCCTCATTATCCCCTGTGCTAGTTCCTGTAATATCCCTATTTTACCTGTGAAATAACCCCGAGCGAAACGATGGTGGTTTTTCTAGGACCTCTGAGCAATAATACGATTGTTATCCTTTGGTACCTTGTTGTTCCTAAACACTCTGTGCTGCAAATATCTTCCCACTAAAAGCACATTTTTCACTATCATTGACCTATGTGTTATGTTTTTAGTATTCCAGTTGATAAGGATAGCCAACATCTTTTGCTTTCACTTGGAAAGAAGAAACTACATCTGGACAGTAAGGCCTCAGGGTTTCACTGACAATTCTTTTCACAAACCTTAGAAGCTGACTTGGACGATAGAAAATTTTCTGTGGCCTCTACTTTGTTGTAATATATACACGATTTGCAACTTTGCTCCCCTTATCAAACCTCTTCTACCTGTTGAAAATTTTGGCCTTAAAGGGACATAAAGTTTCCAAAGAAAAATTGCAGTTTGCTTAACTCACATGGGACACTTAAGCCACCTGATCTCAGCATAAGGATTACATTTGGATCCAGATGTGTTGCAAACGAAATGACACAAAGACAAGACACACAAAAGACAGACAAAGACACAACTCCGGCCGGAGGGGGAAAATTTTCCCTGAGCCTTCGTGCGGCTTATTTTTATACCCCAGTAGCTGGACATATACCAAAATCAAAGAAACGCATTCTTTTTCCAAGGACGGGGGGAACAAAGGGAGGAACTGACCACAGCATGTTTACTGAGAAGCCTGCCCAGAACTCCAGCCTCTTCCCTATTTTCAGGGAGGGCGAGCGGATCGTTAACCTTGGATATTGTGTGCAGGCTTCTTGGCAGAACATCCTGTTTGCAAGCATGCTCTGCTTCCTTAACCATTCTTTCTCGTGGTCACTGTCGGGCTCCTACATCTCCCCCTTTTTTCTGAGAAGTAGTAGCAAGCTGTAAGGCAGCAAGAACGCGTTGTCTATCCTTTTTTAGTTGTTGCCTTCATCGCCAGCACCGGAAGACTAGAATAATAACACAGCATAAGAGTATTATGAACAAGGTATTTCCAAAAGTAGTTCCAATTAGGGTAGACACATGCCCAAGAGGATTCAAATTATCTACCCCTTCCTGTAAATCCTTTAACAGATTAGACCCAGTAATGTCAGGTAGCGTTTTGCTAAATGTAGACAAAATTTGCTGCTCTAACTCCATAATTTCCTTAGTTAGGTTTTGAAGACCTGATAATGACAGTTTCACCTTTTCCCAACCATCACTCATGTTAAAAGGCACAGAAGTTATACATAATTGAGAGGAGTTCCAATCACATTTTAACATACTTCTTGTGGATAAGACAGTTAGTTGATCCCCAAGCCAAGAAACAGTATGTTGAAGATTGAGTACATCAGTTGTAAGTTGTGTATCCAAATTTCGTTGTTGTTGCCATAATAAGTGAGAGTCTTTATACCACTCCTGTACAAAGTGTGCTGTTTGGATTCTTTGATGCAAAGCAAGTCCGGCCACGGCAGCGGTTGCAGTAACCGAAGCCACTGCAAGAACTGAAGCTATGATTACTCCAAGCATGTGTCGGGATCGGTGAAGTAAGGTCTGTACAGCAGCCACCAAATGAGATACAGTAAAAGAGTCCGACCAAGGTCTTGTCAAATTTACAGGTAGCCATACTTCGGTTCGAGTTTTAACAACCACCAATGAAAAATTAGAGTTGTTGGTTTGTGGTTCAAAATTTTTCCACCATGACTGATTTACACATTGTGTTAAATTACAATGATTACATGATATAGATCCTTCTAAAGCATTTCAAGTCCAATTCCCATACAACAATGCAAAGGGGTATTTTAGACAAGCCATAGCAAAATAAGATTTATTAACATGCAAGTTAACATGAAAGGGACCTGAACTGTTAGTCATATTCAAAGTATAGTTTCCCGACCATATAGTGAGATTCCCTGAAACTGTCCATAATTTCCAAATTTTCCCTTGAAGGTGGGGATACCTTAACAATTGCAACTGAGGGGGAACGAGTGCAAACGGCTGCCATTTTATGGTTTCATTACCATTACCCGTTAAAGTACCATTAATTTGATGCCATTTGAGAGTTTTGTTAGACCATTTTTCTAAAATTTGGCCATAATCAGGGCTCCAATCTACAATAACAAATCCAGAATAGTTCATGACCTTAAAAGGCCTATGACCTCGGCAACTTTCCCATTCCAAAGATTCTAAGGAAGGAATAAAAAAATTAGAAGGGCATAATGGTATAAAGGTATCAGGATGGTGACTCATCGGGGTCATAGAGGTGTTGAATCCCCTGGTGGAAACAAGCACAGCAAAGACAGCAGGATGATAATTATTATATTTTACCCCCCAAGTATTATAAGAGTGATGATTATGCTTTCTTGTAGAGAGGCAAAAGGGATGTCCTCCAATGTTCAAGGGGAGGCCCTCCACTGCAACAGTAACATTACTTATGCTATATTGATTAATATGATGATATAAATGTTCAATTCCTCCACACACGGGTGGTGGGAAGAATGCAGTTTCATTGGTGCATACCTGTACTTCAGGTTCACCCCAAGAGACAGCTCTCACAATAGGAGGATTAGGAACATAAGCCCAATAAGTATATTCTATCGCTTGCGCATACATTACCTGACAGGTAATTACAGCCAACATAGCCAACAGCAGATTAGTAGAATTAAAAGGTTGACCAGCATTAGTGAGAGTTTTCTCAGCCTCCTGTGTAAGCTTCTTCAGTTGCCCCCATGTTGGAGGGGACGCAGATCGGTTAGGGAAGGTAAAGCTCCACTGTGCAGAAAGCTCTTCAAATTTTCGCACAAAGCGGTCATCCATTATGAATCTTGATCAATCGAGTTGGGGCCCAAAACCTAAAATTATCAACAGATATGAAAGCATAACCTCGTCCCAAATATATCAGTGATGCTGGAATCCAACCTTTCTCTTTATCTTTATACCAAATGAGTGTATTCAAGATCTTCCTATCCTCTTCTTTCCTTCGAAAATGCAATTCTGCTGCTGATAGATTTTCTTTGCTCCAAATATTCAGAAAATTTAAAGTAAGTAAGGTTTTATTCAAGATGTCTTTTGGTTTCATGAATCTCTCCTGTTTCCCCCCACCTTTTTTTTTTAATATATTCACGTAAAGTATGATTAGTTTTTTCAATGATAGTTTGTCCTTGACTATTATAAGGGATGTCAAAAGTATGAGTTATATGATATTGGTATAAAAAATGAGCTAATTTTGCAGATTGGTAGGCAGGTGCGTTATCAGTTTTTAATTCAATTGGTACTCCCATAATTGAAAAACAAGACAATAAATGAGTAATAACAGTGTCAGCTTTTTCAGAATGTAATGCAGTAGCCCATTGGAAATGCGTGCATGTATCTATAGTATGATGGACGCATTTTTGTTGTCCAAAAGATGAAATAAAAATTACATCCATTTGCCATATCTGATTTGCTTGTAATCCTCTTTATGTTGACACCTGGTGGGGTAAATGGTAAGGTAAAAGGCGCACATATGGAACAAGAGTGAACAATATTTTGAGCTTGTTTTTGAGTAATAGCATAAGATTTTTTTAATCCTTTAGAGTTAGTATGTTGCAGATGATGCTCTTGTTTTGGTGCTTCTATAGGATAAAGTAATGCATCAATTGTATCATTTCCAAATGACAAGGGTCCAGGAAGGGCGGAATGTGTACGGATATGAGTAAAGAAAATTGATTTTGAATGCCGCAAGAGCGATTGTTGTACCTGATAAAACAATTTATCAATAACTGTCTTAAGAGTTATAGGCAGTGAAACCTGAGGAAGCTGTAGACAAGAGAGAACAACATATTGAGAATCTGAAACAATATTAACAGGAAGTTGAGGAAAATTTTGCAAAACTAAATAAATAGCCCACAACTCAGCAGGCTGTACAGAGGAGAACGAATGGGGAAGGACTTTAGAACGTTCAAAAGTCCAATATCCAGCAGTGTTTTTATTTGCATCAGTAAAAACAGTGGGTCCTTTAACTGGAACACTTGAAATCGGAGATTGAGGTATCATGGGGTTAGTTTGAAGAAAATCAATGAATTTAGATGAGAGATAATGATTAGAAAATGAACCAGGAAATGAAGCAAGGGAAATCTGTCAATTTTCATTAAATTGTAAGCATAAAGATATTTGAGTATTTGTTAATTGAGTAACAATTTGGTGTGGTTCTTTTCCTGATAATTGTAGAATACGATTGTGACCCTTTTGTATAAGAAATGCCAATTTATCCATATATGTAGTTAATTTTTTGGAGAAACTGTTGGGTAAAAAAACCCATTCTATTACTTCTTTTTTTTTTTTGAGTAATCGCACCAGATGGAGAATGAGAGGTATGAAATATTATGAATGAAATAGGTTGAGAAGCAGAAATATATGTTAAAAAACCATTATTTAATTTTTGTTCAACAAATTGAAGTTTTTGTAAAGCCAAAGGAGTTAAGATTTGGGGACTATCTAAAGCTGTGTCTTCCTTTAAAGTAGAAAATAAGTGTTGTAATTGATAAGTAGGAATCCCAAGTACTGGGCGTAGCCAATTAATATCTCCTAATAATTTTTGGAAATCATTTAAAGTTTTTAAATGGTCTCTTCTAATTTGTAATTTTTGAGGCTGGATTTGGTGTTGTTTTAATATTGTTTCTAAATAAGAAATGGGAAAATCCTTTTGAACTTTCTCTGGTGCTATATGTAAGTTATATTGTTTTAAAGCTTCCTGTACCTTTAAGAAGAATTTATTATGTTCATTAATACTGGGAGTTGTCAATAAGAGATCATCCATATAATGATAGAGAATATAATTAGGATACTCTTGACGGATAGACTGTAAAGAATGAGCTACAAACTCTTGACATAAGGTAGGACTATTTATTATTCCCTGTGGTAAGACTGTCCATTGGTAGCGCTTAACAGGTTGAGTGTGATTAAGAACAGGAACCGTGAAAGCAAATTTATCTTTATCTTGTAATTGTAAAGGAATGGTAAAAAAAAAAAAAAAACAATCTTTAAGATCTAGTACCATTAAAGACCAATTATGAGGAATAAGAGTGGGAGAAGGAAGGCCCAATTGTAAGGCTCCCATAGGTTTAATACATTTATTAACTTCTCTTAAATCAGTTAACATTTGGGGCGCCTGGGTGGCTTAGTCGGTTAAGCGTCCGACTTTCGCTTGGGTCATGATCTCGTGGTTCGTGGGTTAGAGCCCCGCGTCGGGCTCTGTGCTGACTGCCAGCTCAGAGCCTGGAGCCTGTTTCAGTCTGTGACTCCCTCTCTCTCTGACCCTCCCCTGCGCACGCTGTCTCTCTCTCTCTCCTAGAAATAAATAAAACATTAAAAAAATTTTTTAAAAATCAGTTAACATTTTTCATTTTCCAGATTTTTTTTTTATAACAAACACAGGAGAATTCCAAGGGGGAGTAGAGGGCTCTATATGGCCAAGTTGAAGTTGCTCTGATACTAATTGTTCTAAGACCTCGAGTTTTATTTTTGGTAATGGCCACTGTTCAATCCATTTAGGAGTATTAATTATCCATTTTAAAGGGAGTGCTCGAGGAATTTGAGTAGTGGCCAGTAGTTTTCCGACGGAATGGCTACAGAAGCCCCCATGGGAGAGAGAAGATCTCTTCCCCATATATTAATAAGTATATTAACAATATAAAAAGTGACAAAAACTGTTTTTTTTATTATGAAACTGGCATTGTAAAGGACGAGTACTTTTTTAAACATCTGTAATAGAATCTAATCCTGTCAGCATTAGAGGACTTTTTTCTTTGTTCCAGTCCTGGGGCCATTGTTGAGAGGAAATGACCAAAACATCTGCCCCTGTGTTTATTAACCCTTCAAAGTTCCTTTTTTGTACGGTTAGAATCCTTGATGAGTATCTCCCAAAATATGTGTTGCCCAGTACTTCCAGAACCTCCTGACCTTTCATTAGGAAGCGTAGAAAAGGGAAGATAAGATAAAAGAAGTATTTGTGCTATACATTCTCCAGCCAATAGTGAAAGCGTAATAGAAGTAGAAACCATGATTAAATTTTTTCCAACAAAATCAGAGTTTATTACTCCAGGAATTATAGTTAGACCTCTTAAAGCTGTGCTGTTGCGGCCCAATATTAAGCCAAAGGTGCCTTTAGGCAATGGGCCAAATATGTTGGTTCTTAATTTATAAAAGCCACCTCCCAGAGACAAAAGAACATTTTCAGTGAGAGGCAAATCAGCAGCAGCACTTCCTGAAGTTGTAGAGCGTAAATCTGACACCATTAAAGGTTTGGTTATTCCTAATGTAGTAGTCATTTTTAAGGGTTGTTGGAAAACAAAGGGGTTACTGTCCCAGGCTGACAATGAAGGAAGGGCCTGTCCCAGGCTGACTGTCCCTAATCGTAGGATGCATTCCGAGCCGGAACATCCTAAGCTTGTAAACGAGCCAGGGTGCTGACCAAGTAGTAGACTCAAGGTTAAGACAGCCTACGTGCACACACAAGGCTGTGTCCAAGCAGAAGGTCATTCGCGAATGCAGAGCAGGAACTTGGCAATAGGAACCTGGGAACAGAAAAATTTTTTTCACGGAGAGATTGTGTGTTTGAGCTCTGATATCCTTGAAGTGAGTGAGCAATAATAGGTCCAGGGGTTTAGAGGGTGTCTGTCTCATTTTGCCAGTCTTAGTCGCCCAGTAATAAAAGTCCAACAGACACAACTGATAGTCATAGACACACATAGAGAGACAGATAACAAAGTTCGCTGCGCGGGGAAATGAAACTGAAACCAGGATGGCGGCGTTGCGGAAAAGAAACAAACTGGGACGAAGGCTTTAGGTTGGATCCTGGGCACAACCTGCCCTGTCCCTCTGAACCAATACAGAATACAGGTTAGAGGCAGTCCACTGGACATTTTTTCCCCTCCGATACAGAAGGAGTCTGGAACGTCTTCCAGGTCTCCTGCGACCGTGGCCCCCCCAGCGCGTCCGCCTTAACCACCTTTGGTCGCCTAATATAGATTTGTATCGAGACCAGTTACACAGATAAACACAACAGAAAGAGATTTTTACCAGCTGGATGACTCTCCAGCTCGGGGGTTCTGGGGAATCCCGGGAGAGCTAATGTTGTGTCCGATTTGCGAGTTCCCAGAGACCTCCAAGGAGCCGACACCGATGCAAATACAAAAGGGTCTTTATTACAATCTCGAGCAGGGGCTCATTTGCCTATTAGTGTCGTGGCAGTAAGATGAAGCGAAGAACAATAGCAAATAGGGTTTTTAAGGAGTAAGGGATGGGGGTGTTACAGTACATGTAGCATCGTCACACAAGCACCAATTACAATTACAGCTTTGACTATTCAGTATCTGTGAGGTATTTATTACTTTTGGTGGGACCCAATCATGACTTTTGAGAATTTGTTCCTTCATTTTGTGTTTTCCACCATTGTTGAAAAAGTTGGGTCACTTTATCAACTTCGTTGTTCCCGTCAGACGACGAGGAGGACTCACTAGAACTATCAGATTCGGTATCTGATTCCCCATCCCTGGAATGCAAAGCGGCAGCTGCAGAAGCGTCATTTAAAGCGGCAGCATTTGATTCTTTTTGTTTTTCCTTAGGGAGTTCCTCATAAATCACCTCAGATTTTATAGATTTAGTTTCACTATCTGTAGAAAGCAATGCAAGTGCTAGAGTGATAAAACTACATAGAGTCCACAATTTCAAAGGAATTATGTTACCTTTCTGATGTTGTCGCGGTAATTCCTTTTGTATTAATTTCCATTCCTTTAAGTTTAATTGTACTTTGGGTTGGCACTTAAACCCATAACAATGCTGCTCCACAAGGTAAAATAACTCATATAAACGGCGACTAGATGCCTTCACCCCGATGGAGTGGAGAAGTCCTTTGACTACCTCCATGTATTGTGCCTTTGCTGATGGGGAATTCCCCATAATTTTCCCAAAAGTTCCCCTGCCTTGGATCTACAATCCCCGCGGGGTACTCACCTTTTCGGTTTCGTTCGCCCTCTGCTTCTTTCCCCGCTTTGGGGGCCAGATGTTGCGAACGAAATGACACAAAGACAAGACACGCAAAAGACAGACAAAGACACAACTCCGGCCGGAGGGGGAAAATTCTCCCCGAGCCTTCGTGCGGTTTATTTTTATACCCCGGTAGCTGGACACATACCAAAATCAAAGAAACGCATTCTTTTTCCAAGGACGGGGGGAACAAAGGGAGGAAATGACCACAACATGTTTACTAAGAAGCCTGCCAAGAACTCCAGCCTCATCCATATTATAAAAGAGGGCAAGTTCCCTCGTATGAGAGCGGATCATTAACCTTGGATATTGTGTGCAGGCTTCTTGGCAGAACATCCTGTTTGCAAGCATGCTCTGCTTCCTTAACCATTCTTTCTCGTGGTCACTGTTGGGCTCCTACAAGATGAAAATCCCTATGACTGCTTAATTCTGGCAGATTATGTTTTGAATCCCTATGGTGATTTATAGCAAACTCCTCTAACCAATGCAGACTTTTTAATGGTTTACTGATAGTTCTTATTTAAAAGATTAAAATGGTGAGTGTTATGCTGGATGTGCTGTTTTCAGTTCCTTTTGAAGTCACCGAAACAGCATCTTTACATTTGGCTACTTCAGCCCCGCAGGCTGAGTTATATGCCCTTACTCAAACTTGTACCATAGCAAGGGCAAACTGCAAACATTTATATCAATAGTCGGTATGCCTTTGGGGTAGCTCATGACTTTGGAACATTATGGAAACAATAAGGTGCCCTTGACTTCAATGGAAATAAAAAGAGAGCGCCTGGGTGGCTCAGTCAGTGTGACTCCTGATCAGCAATGCTTTCAGAGAAACATCTTACCCTAAAGGGTGAAGCGAAAGTTAATAAAAGGAAATCTCCTTTAGAATGGAGTTGAGAGACCAGCAAGAGGGAGCTCTGAATGCCCTATCACTCGTCAACTACACATCCAACCAGGAGAGACGAATCCTGCACATGGCTCCTACTTTACTGCCCCAGCAGGAGAGGAAGAGAGCCTTTATTCACAGTTCAGCCAATGAAAAGCCACTATACTTTGAACTCCCAGTTTACTACAGTGGGCATTTTGTTGGTAACAGCCTTCCTAGCTTTCCCTTCCTCTGTAAATGAGCGTTCCTCTTCTTTGTTCTGCAGACTTGCCTACGGTTCTGTAATAGCTTGCTTGCTCCGGATTGCAGTTCTCTACTATGCCCCCAATAAATCCATTTTTGCTGGTAAGATAACTGGCAGTTTTATTTTTAAGGTTAATCCTCACACTCGCAGTCTCCTCCATTATCAACATTTCCCACCAGTCCGGCGCATTTGTTACAGTCACTGTACTGGCACATCATTACACTGGCACATCATTATCACCCAAAGTCCATAATTTCATTCGAGTGCATTCTTGGCGTTGTACTTCTGGTGGTTCTGCCAAATGTATAATGGCAGGTATCCACTTCGTAGTATCATGCAGAACAGTTTCACTGCCTTAAAATCTAGCATGTGCTCTCTATTTATGTCTCCTGCAGCCCTAACCTCTGGCAACTACTGATCTTTTTACTATCTCCATCATTTTGCCTTTTTTTCAGAATGTCATACAGTTGGGATCTTATAGTATGTAGCCTTTTCAGATTGGCCTCTTTCACTTAATTACATCTACTTAGAGTTTCCTCCATGTCTTTTGGATCTTAATGGCTCATTACATTTTAGCATTGAATAATATTTCATTGTCTGAAGGTACCACGGTTTATTTTTCCATTTTCCATTGAAAGACATCTTGGTTGCTTCAAAATTTGGGCATTTATGAATAAAGCTGCGACAAACACCCACATAAAAAGTTTTTTTGTGTAGACATAAGCTTACTCATCTGGTTAAATACCAAGGCGTGTGATTTGCTGGATTGTATGGTAAAAGTATATTTCATTTTGTAAGACATTTCCAAACTGTCTTTTAAAGTGGCTGCACCATGTTTCACTCTCACCAGCAATGAATGAAACTTTCTGTTGGTCCACACATTCACCAGCATTTAGTGTTGTCCGTGTTCCAGATTTTGGCCTTCTAATGGGTTCGTAGTAGTCATCTTATGATTTTTAATTTTGAGTCAAAAGTGTAGTTTTATATTTATGTATGTAGTTTTACGTTAGTTATTTGATTAATGTTTTTCATCCCCCCATAGACTGTGGGTTCAGTGAAAGCAGGGACTGCCTCTGCTTTTGTTCGTTTTTTTCACCTGTATGGAGTACCTACCTACAGTGCCTCCAACATAGTAGACCTTAATGAATATTTGAATAAATGAGCAACCAGCCTTAGCAGCTCATTTTGAAGGTGAACTTTTACACAAAAGATCCAGGTCTCCTGAAGACAATGGAGCAGAACCTGACTTACATAGACCTTTCCTGGGACACCAATTCCCCTGAGGTTGTCAGAACTCCAGAGGCATATGATCATCCACCTTTAATAACTCTTGGTGTAGTTAGTGCCCTTTATGTAGAATCTAAATTACTCAATCCAATTCATCCTCCCTAGGACAAATACAGAACTTTTCCTTTTTGCATCATCTGAGGAGGAAACCTGGCTTCTTACGCAGGCACACCTTCAGGGCTTCATGGATGTCTCTGTTTCTCAGGCTGTAGATGATGGGGTTGAACATGGGTGTCAGGATGGTGTAGAGCAGAGAGAATCCTTTGCGCAAGAGTTGTGAAGAACTGGCTGAAGGCACAAGGTATGTGGCAATCAGTGTTCCATAAAACACGGTGACCACAGTGAGGTGGGAGGAGCAGGTGGAGAAGGCCTTTCTCCGGCCTGTACCCAATGGAATCCGTAAGATAGCAATGAGAATGCGGGAGTAGGAGGCTGTGATGAGGAGAAACGGAAGCAGAGTTACTGCAGAAGAAGTGGCATAGGCAATGGTCTCAGTCAGTGAAGTGTCCGTGCAGGAGAGATGGACCAGAGGGGTGAAGTCGCAGAAGAAGTGATCGATTTCATTGGGTCCACAGAAAGGTAGTCTAGACAGCAGGACCATAGTGATTGCTGTGAGGAGGAAGCAGCAGAGCCAAGAGCTGGAAGCCAGCTTAATGCAAAGGGGGCCAGTCATGAGGATGGGATAGTGGAGAGGTTGGCAGATGGCCAGATATCGGTCATAGGACATCACAGCAAGCAACAGACACTCTGTTGCAGCCAGGGACCCGAAGAAGTAGAACTGTGCCAGGCACCCAGCCACAGAGATGGTCTTCTGTTCCACTATGATAATCAGCAACATCTTGGGGACAATGTTGGAGGTATACCAGATCTCTAGAAAAGACAAGTTCACCAGGAAGAAGTACATGGGGGTATGGAGGTGATGGATGAACAAAACTAGCAGAACAATGAGGATGTTTCCAGAAATGATTAAGATGTAGAAAACTAAAAACATCATGAAGAGGAAAATATTTAGCTGTCGGATGGAGGAAAATCCTCGAAGTACAAATTCCGCGATGGTTGTTTGGTTTTCCCAGGGTGAGATCACCATGCCTTTGCTTTCCTTAGAGCACCCAGTGATAAGACATGCAAAGCACAGGAAGTTCTAGCTTACACATAGACCATGGGCTGACAGTGGATGATTTTTATTCCCCATTCAGGTTTTTGGAAGAGTTTCTACTTGGGTGGAGGAGTGTCTTCTTTTTTTCCCCCAAAGCCTGAAATGGGAAAGAAAAGAATTTGCAATAGGAACTTGTGACTGTTTCAGGTCCCCTTCTTCTCCTACCTGTGTATATCTTCATTTAATCAGGAGCAATGTCAGGCTTTGGGGAAAGAAGGACATGGGAGAAAGGGGAAGAAGAACACAAAAGGGAGGAAGGACAAAGTAAAAAGAAAGGAAAGGAGAATCACATCCTGTCTCATCCTGAACGCTCTATGGTAGCTTGGGGGCTTATATGAAGAAAAGATCTAAAAGGAAGGTAGGCACATTCCAAAGAGTTCGTGAACTCCCAGATGGACCTGAGAATCAAGGGCCCAGGACAAAGAACGCTCCTCTCCTCCCCAAGCACTGGTTATGTGCAGAGAAATGGCCCCTATCCTACCTAATATGAATTTTTCTTTCAGCTTCTTAGTGACTTGAGACATAAGTGTCTTATTTCTGTTACCGTTTCCATAGCCCAAGCAAGAGAAAATCACATGAGTGTGAGGTTTGAGATTCTCTTGATTCTGAGGTCAGTGCTTATACTGGTATAATGCAGAGGCAGGAGTGTTTTTCACTCACAATTTTAAAAAGATAAAATCAGGTCATTAAAAAGATTTTACATCGGACAGCAGTAAATGGGAAAAGAAGATTCAGAACCACGGGGCCTAAGGCATGGTGTGCTACTAGCCAATTGAGTAGTAGGGAAAGCCCAGGTCTCCCCCCAATTACATCTTGGTCTAAGCCACAGGCCCTCCTCTGAAGTTCAGGATAGAGAGAGAGCCTGCTCAAGAAAGCAGACAGAGCCTGAGGCTGAAACCATGTGACTCTTCTCAATACCCTTGTACTGGACCTGTTACACGCTTATTAAGGTAGTTGCGGAGGGACCCTATTGCTGCAGGCAGAGATGGGAAACCCCATATGCAGGGACAGAAAGTACTATGTGAGGGTCATAATGAAGTAGTTATCAGGAGTGGCTAGAGAGCCCTATACAAAGTCAAGGGTGCTGCTCTATAAGGGTCAGACTCGAACAAGTTGTTTAGCTTCTCTGAGACATAGTTTCTCATCTGTGAAATGGGATACCAGGAGAGAGAAAAACTTAACCATGTGCCTAGCATGCGCAAAGACATAAACACAGAGATTGTGAAATCACTGGTTTATTCAGGGCTGCCAACATTACTTAAGTTTACCAAGACATTGCTCTTGCTTTGAAGAAGATATTGGCAACAAATCCCAGTGTGTTTTCCCACATACTGCAGTGTTTGTGCACGTAATTTTGTGAGTAAGTAAGCTCTTCCAGTGATCTCTTATCATACTACCAGCTTTTAGCAGTACACTAATCCCATTTTAAAATTGACCCAGTGTCCTACCATTCCGTGGGGCCCTAGTTCTAGCTTTCC